CTAAATTCTCGTTTTTAGAAGTTTCAGGCGTTTCATCAAAACAGGGAATCGGTTGTAAGTCTTGTGACGATTCAGTTCAGGTGCTCATGCTCATGTATTGTTAGCCCCACCGGATTTCGTGCGCACAACGTATGTTGAGTAATCTGCCGTCTAGACTAGGTGAGGTCAACTGATGGTCAAAACAACCAGACGTGAGGGTAATCGACCGACCCAACTGTCTACAGCGCCATAACCCCAGAATGTGGATTGCAAGTAAACTTTAAGCACCAGAATGATACGGTTAGACCGTACCCTCTTGGAACCACCGATGAGAGACCAGAAAAGGAAACATCTGTTCCGAGAATATGGTCTTACGGGCTCATTTTGAAGACCCTTATGGGCGTGCACATCTCTTGGATTTCACTACCGATAATCCTCCGGTTACTTAGACAGTGTTGATTCCCTCATGATATCAACAACAGTCTTGTCAGATACTCAGCTGAAATTCCCTCCTGCAAGTGAAGTCAGGCTGCGCTAAAACACCGTACAGCCGTTACACTCTTGCTGGGAATGAACATCAGCACTCATCTCCCCATCTTCCACTGGATCTGTACTGTCAACACCCTGCCAAATGTGACTGATCAGGGTTATAATCAACCTGCACTTAAGGAGGATTATTGGTTAGTCTTACATTTTTGAAGACTTTATTGGACTGAACCATGATCGGGTGCGTACCGTATATTCAATAGACCTCCTGACCGAATGAAACGGAGCGCACTAGATCAGGTAGAAACTCCAAGTTAGGGGCAGATCTTAGAAAATTTAACCGTGAAGCTTGTCCACACTGATCAAAAAGAGTTTCTCATCCATTCTGGGTGAAGTGGTATTGGCATTTGATTTCCCGCTTCGATATTCAGGGTTGAATCATTGTGCGTCGATAGATAAACTCCATATTTGGCATTTAGAAGGACAAGATTACCGGATGTATATCCAAACGATTCGTCCCACAGGGTTTTCAAACCCAAATCACGATGAAGGTTTCATACAGTCTGCGAGCTTCCACCTTTTGGCAGTAGCTTATAAGCTTATGCTAAATTTCTATCCCGATTTTGAGTGACCTTCAAAAGAAAGCATTCTGAAATGACTCAACGTTCATTTCTTGTCCCATCGAAGAATGCCCCATGTACAGACCAGGTTGTAAAGATCCAAAGCCGGGTGAAACAACGAAATAATCTAATCTCCCAAAATAAGGTTTATTAGATTGTTGGATCCTAAACCAGTCCGCATAGCCTTGGAAGATATCGCTGCCCAACCCAGGTTAGCCTAGGGTCGGACAGGGCCAAAATCGTGCTGAATGTCTCATTTATCTAACCCCCTAAGTTTGCTCTTTTGGCGGTTACTTTCGACTTCCTTTAATGATCTTAGTGACGTTGTATCTGCCTTATGCACTGTGCCATCAACTCACGCAGTGTTGCGTTGACAACCGCTGTGTTGTAACATCAAGTCGTCCCGGATAATGACCAGAAGTCGGTCATGCTGTGGACGCATGTTTAACGTGTGTGGTTGCTAGCGCCGATGCCATTGTAAACGGACAGACTTAAATACGGTGCATTTTGTAGGTTCGATGAGATGCGGATGGACAGAAATCATAATTGTGGTATCCAAGGCTTCTAAGTGGGTGCGAAATTAGTAGAAAGTGTTGAAGGTATCGTGCGCTGAACAACTATGCTGATCCCGTTGTAAACTGATTTGCGGCTCGGAAGGTGATGAGTTTCGACCCATCCATAATATTTTTCGAATTACCCCTACCTAGCTTTTTGTTTGAATCTACTAAACCCGCTACTCGCAAATAGTTATAAAATTTTAGGTGCTTTGGAAGCAGAAATCTATTCTGGATTCAGTTGTACTGTCAAAATTTGCTTCTTTTGAGTGAACCCTATGTGATGTTACAAATTCCGGTACTAAAACCACCTCCCTTGTGACATGTGACCGAAACAAGGCCCACAATCTGCTTTTTTTCCTTGTCAGCATCGCCTTGCTACTCTGAAGCTACTAATGGTACGTTGTGCCGTCGGTAAAAACGTCAAAGACGGTAGAACTCAACGGTAAAAACGTCAAAGACGGTAGAACTCAACGCCGTTAAGATCCAACCTGATCAGTCGATAAAAACTGGATGTTTTCGCACCATATGTAGTTCTCCGTTGCAAACCACAGACTTTGGAAGGCGACATACCACTGACAGAATGAAAGTAGATATCCAGACTCCCAGGGAGGAGTTTAGGGATCACTATGGAGAAAATGTGACACAAGCAATGAGTCTCAAACGACACTACCCTTTTTGAATTATTGTCACTGTGTTCCTCTGAAATATATTTGTACTACTAGACGTGGTTTTTTTCGTGCAAACATTACGAATGACATTGAAGGGTGCCTCTTGACCATGGACAAAATTTTCACACTTCGAAAGCTGTCTTCTCTCTGGCCCATGAGATCCCTCGGTGACTTCATTGGCTGCCACGTAAATGCCTAAAACGTCGTGTAACTTTAGGACTCCAGCCAACACAGCAGAACAGAGACAGATAGTCTTCAGTGGGAAATTGCCAAGCAAACTTCTCTTTTGAGTTTTTCATGCGTTCACACCTAGTTAACTCAGCTCCAACATTCGATTGCATTGTGGGGGGTTTATCAGACTGATTGACGAAGGTGGACAAGTGCGATTAATTTCAAAGTCATTTCTATGCATTATCGCGCACTATCTTGTCCCAAAAATTTGATTGTGCCTATGAGCCCAAAATTAAACTGTCTCTAAAATGATTGCTCAATTTAGGGATTGGTTTTCCGGAAACTATGCCTACCGGATAAGCCTCCAGCACGTTGAAAACGGAAATAGACCATTTGTAGGTTTTGCAGCCCGTGTTTCACAATACCTATAACAGACAGCACTTTTCTTGAACATCATCTCAACGGAATCTCAAAACATCCTGTGTGCTGTGCATTAGGCGAAAGAATAGTGATTTGCCTCTGACCGGGAAGAACTCCATTGATGCTGGCAAGTTCATCATGCATTTGAGTTAGCAATTAATTTGCCAGTGGTAGATGACTAGAATTCGGATTAGTGTGTTTAAGGATTTTTCATGATGGCCTGTAAATATTCTGAAGTGGGAAAAGCATATACAGTTATTCGGTGTTTGCAAACGCCTCTGAAACAGTTCAGGAAGAAATTCTGAACTTTGCACAACACAACCATGTTGTAGCTATTCAGCAACCTGTATCAAGAAGCCAGTTTCATTGTGATTGAGACTTCATGAAGTCCGCATTCCGGGAATAATTCTATTGGCTGTTCAAAATGGCCTCTTGCGTTAGTTCAAGGATGCATATCCATGAAAGTAAATTTACACTCAATTTTCTTCCACAAACGAAATCTGGAAAACATAAAACGATTATGAAACAGACGGATTACATAATCGTATCGGTTCGAAAACACGAATTAGACGCTTTCAACGGCTTTTAGGCTCGATATTTCTATACCCAAGTTCAGGCTACGGAATGACAGGTTGTAAAATACTTAGCCAGCCACTCACTTTCCCCCATTTATACAGTGAAATCTTGGTATAATTTAGTCCTAAAACAGAGAAAAATCAGCTCTAAGGTTAATAGGTTATTTTTTTATTGGATTCACTGAAAATATCGAAGGCTCACATAAACTCAGGCAGAGCAATAGGGGAAGAAATCAATTTCTTCGGCCAGCCATACAAAAGTGGGCTGGCAAAAAATTACCTCACTGAAAGTTAACTCTGTTTTCTTCTACTTCTGGCCGCTATATTAGAGTTCAATTCCGACAATAAAGGCCGAAGTGAACTCCGTTTTCAGCGTAGTACAGCGTCATTTCTTAGAATAGATGTTTCTCTCCCTTGATCGCTACAGAAATATCATATTGTTCGAGCCACCTATTAGTCTTTCAATGTTTGCTACCAGTCATTCTTATGAGCGGAATATGTTCGCAAAAGACTGTTGGTTGTTGGCCTGGATTAGACTGCTAACGTCATCTATGAACCTTCTGTGGAACAGCTAATTCACAGTGGTATTTTACGGGGCAAGGCCCTCTAACCAAGAAAACCGATCAAACGAAACAAACGACGAATTTGTCCACCACAACTTATGGCGTTTTCGATATTTTGACCGAGAGCTGCTAAAGGCTTTGCAAGACAGGATTTTCGTTTTGTGCCGACGAACAAGCTATGACATTCTTGTTCAGTCGGCACCACGATAGTGGCTAGTAGCTCTCCAAAAAAGATAATGTCTACTGCAGCCTTCAACGAATTCTTCTGTTCTAAGAGAGCCATCGTATTTGATTTCTGTCAAGGAGGTTTCATCTATTGTTTGGTGACGTGGGTGAGCTACGTGGTGAAGGCAAATAACAATTCAACTATTTGGGCCAACTACCCACCAATGCTCCTCACTGACTTGCCACGAAAAGCTAACGCTATATGTTTGTATTATCATAAAAAAACTGTGTGGGCGGTGTCAGTTTGGATACAATGTGTGGTCGGATGTCAGTTTGGATGCAATGTGAATTCATCTGTCTCATAAAGCCGAATGTGCAGTGACATAGCCAAATTCCCACGATGACATAGTTACTGCAGCAAGAAAGTTGGACAATAAATTATTACCGTGACAAATCTTTCTATTCTCAGTTTCTCTACACACCCTCATTTTCTGACTCGCTCTGCTCCAAAAAGGCGCTTTTTTACGCATCATCAGACCTGTGCCAGTTTTAACGCGGAAGCAGGAATGTTTGGTAGACCTGTTATAGTTGAGCCATTCGAGTAATATATATGGATTAGTGTGGAATCGTCATACCACAGAGCGAAATCACTATCACCAGTCGAATTCCTCTACCAAAGACGTCCTCTGTATTCCATGGTACTCGAGTAACCAAGGTGATATAACATTAAAGATGGGAAACTTGAAGGATGCTTACACAGAGCAACAACCATCGACAAAACAAAGGTTATGCGGCTGTAATGACTGCTGTCATTAGAAACAATTCGCCTCCCTAGAGCTACCCACTGAGGAGTCATGCGTACAAAATGAAAATGAAAATAGCAGTGATTCAGACAAATAAATTGCAGCCAGATGGGGAATGTGTTGGAATTTTCAATGTTGATAAACTTTCTGTGTGGAAAATCGGATGAGGTAAGCGCATGGGTGAATTCGTGGTTGCTACAAACAAGATGAAGGTATTATATACAAATAAGTTGACACCAACAAAAACACGAGTTGAACGTCACGTACCTGTTGGATAAATTTAAATTGTACAGTTTTAGCGGGTGCAACGACACCCAGGGCACAGACAAGTACATATGGATGGAAGGAAATTAAGGGGTTACCAGTGCGTAGTGTGAAACACAGTCAACAACATGATGAAATAAAGGGTTATGGATATCCGTTACCGTGTTCATTTGCATTCACCTTAACTGCAAAACCAAAGAATCATAGGTTCATTTATTGTATTGAGCAAGTGGCAAGCCGGTAGCATAAAGGTGGAGTTGATTGGGACGATCCCGGCGCTTCACGGAGTTATTCGTTACCAATGTAACTTGTGTGAGTGCGCCTTCTGTTTAGAGGTGTCCGACGTAAGGAGAGTGAAATCACTTCACATTTGGGAACGGGGAGAATCAAGGTCTCTGGAGAGTTTCTCTGTTGTTCTCTCCTTTGGAAGTAAGAACGCACTTAAAATCTACTCGTGGGTCTGGCGAGCAACTGGGCGTTGGCTGTTTTGGATCGTATGTGCTGTTCGCATTACCTGTTACATGCAGGTAAAACATAGAAGAGGATTAGAATTACTTTGGGGTACAGTATTTTATAATCCAGCGTGGACGTGAATCTTTTTATCAAAGCCCGAACTCAGTGAAACTGTTTTACTCAATAATATCTTCGTGTACTGATAAGACCACAAATGACTGTTTCGTCATGAAACAATGATGACAGTGCAGAAAAACCATAAGGGCAAATCAATCTTGACTCATTCAGGTTACCGGAACACCCAAATCGAGCGACTCGATGCATTTGTCAAAATGAACGAGGTAGTCAATACTGCATAGCATTTAGGGAATGCCTTTAATAATATATCCTATTTTTGTGGAGATTTCGTCTTGTAAGTGAAGCCAATCTATGCTAAAAAGCCGAGAAGCAGTGTACAGCTGTTTCATCCTTATTGGGAATCATCAGCAGTGCGCATCTCACGAAACTCCGAAGAGTCTCGAACCCGCGACCGCCCGGCTAGTAGTTTGAACACTTAACCGTTCGGCCACGAGTGGCTGATCAGCAGTGTGATTAACTCGCACTTAGACAGGATATAGCGCCGCCCTGTCTAAGTCTAGGACGTTTTGAGTCCATGGGCTTTCGCGATTGCGAGAGTTGATCGGAACATAAGTTGCAATTATGACCCGGTGGTACTTACGCTCAACGTGGCACCTGTTAGCACGAAGTTTGCATGTGTCAGGTACGCTGTCATCGTAAAATCTTGAACAGTTGCAATATTGTAGAAACGATTTCCTTCTAACACAACAGTTATGTCGCAATTTCATGTTTGAGTGCTCCAGTATTACCCCATGCTGATATGTCGCAATAAATTTCTGCAAGTTTCCGCAATCCACCAAGAATTTGAAGTAGGTCATTGTGGCCATGAGGTGGTGGCTGAGGATACCTATATGTTACGCAGTTCTCCATCATGAGGAGGATTCAAAGACGAAATACTTCTACCAGTGAAACATCTTTTTTGGCAGAATTATTTTAATTGCGGCTTTTTCTACGACAAAGATACTTCAAGAGATAAAACAACACTAAATAAAATAGCAATGAGTGTATTTCACATTGTTAGCAAGCACATTTGCAAATTTATTCCACCCAGCTTGTAAGCTTTTTTGAGTGACGTCTTTCAACAGCTATAACAAACATTATTAGTTTTATTTTGCTGCAAAGAGTACATACATGCCTGATAAAATTGTACACTGATACATTTTTTAAGAGGTCTCACTTGGACTACATTGGATACGTATCGGTTGCCATGTTTTCCACTGCCGCAGTTCGCCGCTTTGTGCGTGATCATCTTCTTCACTTCCACCATGTCCAGAATCAGAAGTCTGCTCTTCTAATTTTGAGACAGAAAGTTGCAACTGTTGTTGTAATTCAGTCTCATATGTGGAAAAAACCGCTCCGGGTGTTTTTCGGTATTCATACTTAGCCCTCAACTGTGATGTATCAAATGTTCGTCCGTCGTTCATTGAGTTGGATGTCTGTCGGGAGCCCTCTGCGCTCGTTGGATAAAAGTGGCTCTTTTGTGCCTCGGGCGCAACGGGTCCCATTTTCTGGATGATCAAAAATACACTTTTAGAAAGAGAACATATCACACTGAATGTTGAACAGCCTATATAGGAGCAATTCACAACCCAGTATTGTGATTTAACCAAAGAGCTGCGATAAACAGGATACAGAACTTTATATATATATATATATATATATGTGAAACCAATACCCCCAAAATTATACCAGTGAACCGAAAATCCATATGATCATTTCACTGTCATCTATGGGAGCTATAGCAAGATACATTTTTGTTTTTTGGGCAACAAAGAAGTCATGCAGATTCAAAGTTACTTAGGGAAGAGTCATAAGTAGCTAGCAAGCACCGTGTGAGTGTGGTTTGCGCGAAGTTACTGAGGCCATCCTTTGATTTCTGATATTTACAGCTCCTGTCAGGGTAATTAATGGTCGGTTTTGACCTGACGCACACGGAAACCTTGAAATCCCCTGTCGCTCCATAGAAGGGCGTACAACAGTGTGAATACCATTTGAAGGTAAGTGTAAAAAGCAGAATGTTGTAGGACGTGCGGAATCCTGTATTCTTCGTTCCCACAAGATGCCATTTCATATGGCTTTTACCGAGTTCTGCAGAAAATTCGATTTCGATCATTCTGCGCATAGAGAACGTCGATGCTGAGAACAGCTGTGACTGTAGTTGCAACTGTACCTTGTCTGCCATTGGAGAAATGGATGATAGGAAGTCAGGGTCCATCGTCCACAAAGACGGAAGTGATTGCATTGTGGCCGTGTATGAGAGCTGGATGCAGGCTGAATGATATTTTTCCTGGGGGCGCTGACATACAGTAAACCTTGCAGCCCACAGTCAAATCATCAGAAACACTTAGGTCGCATCGGGAGCGTCTGGCTTAATCGCCTATGCATTCCGATAGTTTAGACATGATTGTGGAGGTGAAGATGGCTGGCAATACGTTGGCGTTAACGACGAGTTAGATGAAGCCCAAACCCTTATGACAGACATGGAAAAGAGCCTTAAGCTATCCTGAAATAGCAAGTGGATTTCGGCGTGTAAGGTGTGTCTGTTGTGTTGAGGATTCTCGTAGACATAACCAAATGCTGAAAATTACAAGTAAAAGCATCAGAGATGATAAGCGATTTCCCAGAAATGAGCCGCTAGTCGATAAGAGTGCTAGTCTGGTTGACTATGGGGGGTTGAGAAAGGGGAAGTTATTTTGAGGACGATCGGTCTGTTGTTTCTATTAAGCTACAGGCAAAGAGAAGTTGAGTGAAGTTAGGATTTGGTGCTGTACAGGAGCAGATTTGACACCATGTGCCCACCCACCCACTAGACTGTCGCCAATGCTACATCCATAGGTTCACGTTTGAAGACGTATGAGGTCCCTGACTTCTACGGACCAAGTCTATACCACTTTAGCTCATGACTGCCTGGTATACTTCTCTCTTTAACTTTAAATTAGCTGCGTCCAATAATGCGTATGGTCACTGAAACTTGACATCACAACATCGGTACACACGGCTCCTTCGTTATTGGCACTGGAACTAATTGAGTAAGTATTAAGTTTTTCTTCATGTCATTACAACACCTGAACAATTTTACGTAAGATAAGTCACTGACTATGCAATTTTCCTTTCAGGATACTTGTCGAATAACGGAAAACGATAGATTGAGTGACTACCCAGTACGTTTGCACCGAGGCGAACAATAAATAAAAAACATAATTCACCATAGGTTGTTTGTGTATTTTGAGGCGTCGGAAAGGCAGAAGGACAACATGTATGAGTGTGAAGGACGTTGAACGAAACGATCATGCATAGTTGAGGCCTCATAAGCAGCTTCGTGCATGGGTACAGGTCTGGCAGTTCCGACAAGTAGCCAGGGTAAACGACAACGCCTACAGTTATAATGACAAAGTGGCTGGTCTTGTTTTTCGATAACGTCGTTATATTTGATGAAGTATTCCAGCCTATTGGAGTCATTATTTTCAATGAGCATTATGTCGTTGTGTTGGTAATTCACATGAAGATACCTGAAAACGCTACGTTGTCTGCTGAATATCTGTGCACATCTGGGAATGAGGATCATTCATAGAGGGACATACTCACATCACTATTACACAATACGTCAAGTTGTCTTCCATTATTACACTGAACGCAAGGCGAGCTTCCCAGTATCAGTGTTGTTCCGAAGTTCGCTAAACAAACTCATCCAATCTGCTATGTCTGACGAGTAAAGCACGTACAGACACTATTTAAGTAACCACATGTGTGGAAATTGCACTAGAGATTCTATAGATGTCATCTCCTATTGAAATAGCATCGCGGAACGTTAAAATTTTCTTAGACTGGACCTCGTGCTTAATACGTAAAGTGGTAACCACTCACGAGTGAGCGATCGTTCGTGCAGTTATAAGCAATATTTCACTGAAGCGCGCAATCGGAACTCCTTGTAAAATTTGCAACTCCGAAAACCCCACAGTTACGGCGAAGTTCAGTTCGGTCCGTTTCTAGTGAGCGATCCGTCCGATTGCGTCGAGGGAAGCCATAGAGTGGTCTTTTTGGCCCACCCAGTATTTCACATAATCGTGTTGAAATTCGGTGGGTGCCAAGATCAATATGAACAACAATCCGATGATCGGCTACTCAAGATCATAGGTGTTACAACTGCGGTTGGATGAGGTTGAACAGGGGCTTCCACACAGTAAAGATGCATAACATTTTACAGACTAAAGATGTATAAATTTTCATAAAGGAAACTACTCACAAGGTTGCTGAAAACCCTTCGACCTTGTCAGTAGTTTCTTTTATGAAAATATACTGCGATATCCCGAATATCGTGCCAACTGAATCATGAGGCAGCCTGTGTGCAGTATATTCAGTTGTAGAATATCATAAACGAGAGATTCCGTTGAGTCTCTGGTGAAAACCAAATTGATTCGCAAATGAGTGTATTTCTCGAAAAAAAAGTGTGTAAAGCTATAAATTGCACTCGACCCTGTGCGGATAGGGCGAAAAAGTACGTTATTATATCATCCTGTCCATACAATTAAACTATACAGCGCAAAGCCAAGTGAAATATCCGAATGAATTGGCACAGGGAAAAATACGTTCAATCAAAACGTTAGTCACTTACACCGCCAGTTTCGCCTTTCTTGCGACTCAACAGATAAGCGCGCCCCCCATTTTTTTATCTGCTTCACGTCCTCTTTAAGCACTGAATTGTACGTATAAGAGATTTATTTGAGTATGTCCTTGGAAGAAAAATTATTTGCAGACATGTCTGTTTCGCCAGCTTTCTGCTACTTGTTTTTTTCTCATTCACAGCAAGGTTTACGGTAACGAAAACCTAGAAACTAGGAGCTAGGGAATTATAGGTTGACAGTCACTGTGTTATAAGTAAAAAGTGAGCGAAATTTTGAAGCATTCCTACGACTCTTACCATAGTCGGATTTTCCGTAATACAAAATGACAATGGTGTGACAGCCGTGGGTTTGGCCACACAAAACGTGTGAACACCACTTAAGCTCAGTGGCTGGGGTGACTGGGGAAAAGTTTCGTGACCAGTGTCATTCTGGCCCAATGGAAAACTTCGAGGTTTGCTGATCAGGCTTCCATAAACACCGGCGTTGGGGATCAGAGTATGCGTATTTCCAGGGACGCTGTCACGTGTACGCTCATCATCACCGGTGGATACCTCACTCCAGTGAAGCAGATGCCCAAGATTTTCGTAGTTCTTGGCGACTGTGTCTGACTGATCAATTCGCAGGATTTGCTGTGGGAAAAGTTGACAATTACTGTTCAGCAGATAAGATCCCAAGTGAACTGAGTCACCAGCAGAATGTAAACCTTTTGAGAGGAACGGCTGAAAGGGAAAAAGTCGATTTAACTGTGCACACAACTCAAACTTCGAGTATAGTTGATACAAGATGAGTAATTCTTTCCAGTGAAGTGTGGTTCCGTTATTGCTTCAACTTGTTTATTATCAACCACAGTGATTGAAGTCCATTAAATTTCACCAGAAGACCAGACAGTTGTCACAGCGTCTTATTGATTTTTGCGTCAAAATCCTAGTTTCAGCCTTAATTTAATGACAATACAAATGACATAAGGTCTGTTTGAATGAACAGAGCTCAGTCCATTGTATTTGCCGGCGAATCTGGGCGATTCCTACATCCATTCGCTTGAGACTGTCTAACTGTGCTCTACTGGACCATACATTAAAGACTGTAAAACCTAATGTCCCCATATGAGATTGGGATTCCAGAAGTTTCCAAGTCAGGGCTCAATTATATTTCAGCAAAGCTATGGATCGGACTAGTTAGATTTGAATTTAGTCGAACCTAAGGGGCCATCATTCTATCAGTAAGTCTTGTGAGACAGGACAAAGAAAAACTTTTAGAGGTGTGATTTCCTGACGAGATATAAATGAATGTGGACGAACTGTGTGGTATTCCTGACAGTATCTTGAGCTCCAAGGACAGCTCTTTGGGGTCTATCCCAGAAGTCCCCTTTACTCTTTGTCTGGTCATTTTGAAACTACATGTTAGCTGAATGACTGCAAACTGAACAGTTACGTGGTCTGCCACTCATGCCATCATTCGCAACTTATTCGGTATTTAGCTAACCAGGAATCCTTGTGCAGACTCCGGTCTCTTGTCGTTAAGCAATGTACTGGGTACTCTGCGATTGACTATTAGATACAAACCTGTGAGACCAGAAAATGTACGTTTGACAAACTTCGTGCCAACCACGCTCGTCAGTGTATAATCTACTACCTGTAGATTTTGTTATGCGAAATGCCATTGTTGATATTGTGCGAAGAGACATATTACCAGAAAGAGGCTACTCTGTTGGGATCCCATCGTGCAGTTTTTGCTGTCAGTCGTGACTAAGAGTGCAAATCTGTTCAAGAGTTCGTCTTCCCGTGTAGGCCGTCAGACCCCCTTCTCATGGACTCCCATATACGAGAGGGTAATTTTGATTTTTGATAAGGTCTACTGTGTTGCATTTGTAGCAATCCGAGGCACTATACTCTCACGTGTCATAAGTACTCTACTGACCGGGAATTCCCCCTTGAAAGGAACTTCATCATTCCGAAAATAGGATGGACTTCACATGATTGGTGTCACATTATTCCACATTAATAACTGTAAGCTAATTGTGGAGTATATTTGGCTCTACGTCCCGTTTTTCCACTTGACAGGTTATGTTAACTTCCGTGCACAGGGAAGTCGCGTGATTCACTGTCCAGTTCAACTCAGTTCACCACTGGTTAAATCGGAATCCCAAAAAGGGAATTCAATACTTTCTGTATTCGAGAGCACATAGAATGCTAATGATTGCATGTCAAAAATTTAGAATCAAGTGATATATTGGGGTTCCTAAATGTCAACTTACGGGATTTATACCAGGATCGTCAGCAGCACTTAGCAGGCGCTGCGCGGAGGCAGGGCTCGCACTGCTGACCATGGAATGAGCTTGTCTGTGAGGGAAGTTCATAAGGTTACCGTTACCATAACCATGACAGCTATCTCTCCCACAGGATAACTGCCACTCTTCTTGCAACAGTGAACCAGGATTGACCCCTCTCGGCGGCAGGTCGCTGAACGTTTCTTCGTGAAAACTGGGCAAACCATAATGACCCAAACCTCCACCATTCCCATTCTGCCCTGGGCTTCCTAGAATAAAGCCGTTTCCGGTCTCTGAACATCCAGGTGAGGTGACAGGTCTTTGGCCCGGTCTCTGTCTTCTCCGCCTGCTACAAAAGCCCGAGCGATTTTTTGAGCATGGGCCTGAGACGCACACGATCGCGGTCACAAGAACAGATGCCAGCAGCCCTGAGACGCTGGCGAGTACTGTGATGATAAATAGATTGCTTTTGCCCTCAAATCCCCACAGCTCAAGTTCAAATCGCGTGCGGTTGTTCGAATAATAGCTGGAGGACAAGGAGTTGGTGGGCTCACTCCCACAGCAGNGCTGGAGGACAAGGAGTTGGTGGGCTCACTACCCACAGCAGGAATGTCTTTGACGAGCACTGCTAAGATCTATAATAATGAAAGGAAACGTTAGCCAAAAACGAGTAGTGGACACACTTTAAACAAGCAATTTATCCAGAGATGTTCAAACTACTTTTACTCAGAATGAAACTTGATAATCCACATTTTGTTTCAGAGGACATTATTAACTAGTTTGTTTGCTCGCGGAACCATCTTCAGCGACAGTTCCAGACAGCAGATTCTCTGTTTACCCACTGAGTAATTTAATCGGTTAAGTTCCTTAGATAAAAGTTTGAAAGTATTGGAGAGCTGAAGCACGACTTGAAAGAATAGCGCAATGGTGGACGTAGATTTTTAGTTCTTAACATATGATTAGCCGGCGGTTCTCCTTCTACATAAAAAACCGCGTAGTTCCGATAGGCGGACAGTGTGTTGATGTTAGTACACCAAGGCGTAGTTCTAAATACGTAACTTGAAAGCATTTCCAGCTTGTTCCTTCACAAGCTCGTTTGACTACTTTCAAACGAGTTCCTCTATGCAAACCCGGATAACTAGCTAACGTCTATCTGTATTCGCTGTTTTACCTTCCACATTCAAACAAATTTATTCAGAACACAAATGGATTTAGAGCTGTCTCCTCAATATTTCTTCACCAGAATGAAACAGAAGCGAATTTTACGTAATCATTTTTTCATTTATTTTGAATATATTTGAGTAAAATTTATGGAAATGTTGCGGTACATCAAGCAGAATATAAATCCACTGGCTGCCAAATAATGCAAAGTTGATTATAAATGAATAAGAAGAAAGGGATTGATAATATTCGCCAAGGAGCAGTCACAGAATATAGGACAATTCTGGCGAAACCATTTTAATAGGTATCAAGTTGAGATGACAGTGTAGTGAAATAAAATAAAATTTCAAATGCCTGTATAGTTTGCTAATTCTGGTGGTGAGAGAGTTTTCCATCGTTTCAAGTATCTAAAACCACAGAGCGTGGTAGACAATTCTACTCAGTGTCCCAAACTAATTCTCTCATATGTCGAAAAAACAGCCTCTACCAAATTATACTTCATTGCGTCATTAATATTGTTAAAACGTGACAATAGTACCGATATAGGTAACCAGATGGGCGATGACCGATGAGCATAGCAAGAGAGAGAGACCTCTTGGATGAAAAATGCTTCTATTTGTGCATTCCAAAAAAAATTTTGTGACTCGGCAGCTTTGCTAGGTATTATCAGCTAAAATGAACAACCTTTTCGAATATGAAGGCTGCTCATCGTACTACTATTATTTATTTGATAAACATGAAATCACATTGTAATTCGGAAATATCCTGCAGGAAATACAAGCAGATAGACTGCAACTTCATCAATCCGTTTCATTAATCCTTCAATGGATTTACGACACGTTCTTCGGCTGCTGGTGGCCGGTCATCCAACACAAGTTACTGGAATGACGAAATACACAGGGCTCGTACTAGTTGGATGGTAGTAGATCCCCGGACCACAGTCCACGCCATCTAAAGCCAAAGTCAATTGGTGTCCTTTTCAAAGCACTCCATGTGATTTAAACCGCAAAATCAAAACCAAGAATTTTTAAACCAAATGGCCGACACTTGCTCGACTGACATACGGTTTCGGCTTTAGAACGCTTTGTATCACAAAAACTTGTAACCACTTCTCTGTAAATGTGTGAGATGAATTGGTACAAGTTTTTTCGGGACTACTTAAAATTTTTAGATCACAACTTAGAGGGGCCATTTTAAGCTAAACATATAAGTTTCAGGCTCAGTGGAATATTTATGGAGATGGAAATATCTACTAAAATGTCAGAGGTACCAGTGTACCCCCTTCTACTTTATGGAGCATAACTGTCCAAAAACACGCTAGTTAAGCCAAATGCACTAGCGAAAATGTGGCTAGTTGATTGATCTTTCTGGGATAAATTGCAGGACCAGTTGTGAAACTGGTGGATGGTCACAAAAATGAGTGGTTACTAAGAGTTGAGGACTGTGACAACAGCAAGAAAACGGATTAGAAAACATATTTCAAAGCAACCGTTATCCGGCATGGCATGTAATACAATGAAGTCGTTCTTCCTCCACGCATCTTTTATCAGTCTCGAAAACATGTAACACCTTAATTAGCTCACACGGTGATGCAAGTACTGTTCAATAGTTCCATACAACAAATGAAAGATCTAAGCGCTCACCTTGGTGTCTTTCAAAGGAGTGGGATATCCGTCATCGATGGCAGCAACCTTGAAATAGTGCATCCCCAAATCGCTGACTGTCAGGTGCCGTTGCAGTACCACGTTGCCCGAATCATGCGTCACTCGGCAGATTGAGTTTGCCTTGGAACCAGAACCAAAATCCGTTGACGAATCTGCAAATTCCGCCAGCGTGTACCTTATATATCCGTTCGGCCCCGTATCTGGGTCCTTCGCATAAAGCTTTGTGATCAGGTGACCTGGTTTCTCGCGTACGGACAACAGTACAGTCGGTTTTGGGTTACTGCTAGTCAGAGGATCCGGGGATGATACCTCATTCTGAAGCTGTGGTTGATCGTAAAGTATGTTTGAACCGCTATCATCTTCAACTACCGGTCGATCGAAACCTAAAAGAAGTGGTCATAATTGTTCAGTTAACTTGCAAAACACTTGCTCAAATCTAAGCATTGTCTCAACTCGGATGCGACACATCTTTATAGTTAAATAGCCGTAATCACTTAATCTAGTCAAAACTGAACTAGTCAGTGGAACAGAGCACAAAACACATTCCATATATGATGTACGGTGCACGTCGTTTCCCCATGTTTGTCGGCCACTTCGTTCGATTGGCTGGGTAAGTCTTTTGAAATTCTCGGTTTTACCAACTGCTGAGAGTAGTGGCGCCCCAACCAATTGCCTTTAGGACCCAGACTAACAGACTATAAGAGAGAATTTCAGTGAGGACTTCCAAAGGGGGCCTATATGTTCACCTGTTTGATGCGCACCTAAATTACCCCTTTTTCAGGCTTCATGTAGGTTTGACAGTCTAACACATCCTGATTCACGAACAATCTCCGGATAATTTGAGGTATTATTATTATTATTATTATTACACGCACCCCTCGTGCAAACACTTTGTGTCTGTATTCAACTTTGTTGTCATCTGCCTCCTATCACAAACCAGCCACAGCAGAAGGCTTTGTCCTACGTGCCTTATTGGGCGTCATGCCGTTTTGCTCACGCGGTTCTTGTCGTGTCAAACTTTTTCACTTGATAGTGCAAGCAACTAACTTGCTGGTCAGTTTTGATTCTCATCCCCTCTCGTCCTCTCTAGTGAATGGTAGCTTGGGGATCCAGAAGCATCCAAGCAATTCAGCATCACAGTAACACCGTATCTGATAGCACATCTGCCTATAATGTCAGCATTGAGGCAGATCAACATAAACGCATTTCTATACTGAAAAAAAGAGGTTTACAGTGGAGGGAAAGCCCCTTAGTCTCTGCCCCACATGTCATGTGTCAGCTTACCAGTGTAACGGCGATGCTACTGATGGGCGAGGCATGCGAGTAGTATGTTTTCTCGTAAATCCGCTTTGCGCCTCTTGATGCTTTGATGCTTTACACTCTGAGGGAGGAAAGCAACAATATGCTTCCATTTTGTAATTCCTGGATGAATGGCCGCGAAAAGTTAACAACACCCATGAACTTACACTGAATTCAAATCGTCAACCTATTGTGTGAAAACTTACCAACTCTGAGAAGTCCGCTGGGTTGCACAAAGTTTGGAGCATTGTCGTTCACGTCCAGCACAATGATACTTATCGTGCCGGTGGAACTAAGCGGATCGGTGGGTGACAGGTCGGTCACACGGACGGCTAAGCGGTAGTATTCCTATGGTGATTAGATAATGAAAAATATGTATGCAGTCAATCGTTTCTCAATCGTGTGCAAAGCAATACAACTCTTGATTCTGGACATAAGAGTGTGCATACATTGAAAAAACATTTTTAAACCTTGCATCCATCTGAAATTGGAGTGGCGCAGGTTTTGTTGTTCAGCAGGGGACACCAAATCTATAGAATCAAACTTTTTTCAGTAGTGAATACGCTTGAACTATTCACTGAGCATATGTTTAGCTTCCAGTAGCTTTTGCAGCTTCTCCACCGCTTCGAGTGCCTCCAACAATTTGGTAATAAGTGGGTAGTTATTGACCAACTGTTATCCTGTCAGTGTTCCCTAACAAACGGAACATGTTTTGGAACGGAGCAGAAGAGATTGGTTTCCTTAGATGACCCAAGTCTCGAATAACTGCTTTGCTGCTCAGCATATTCAGCATCCAGGCAGATGAAACTTACCTTGTTTCTTCTACAAATTTGCTCCCGTAAACCTTCGTTAGTAATGTGCCTACTACTACGAGAAGGCTTCATATCTAAGCAGTGATATTTCTGGCATGAACATAAAACAGCATTAAGTAGTCTCATCAAGCGGAAAGAGCAGGATGATCCTCACGGGCGGTGTGGGTCAGTCAATAGACGTCAACAGAAGCCCATAGTTACAGACACAGTCGACGACTGGGAGTATTCGACTAATACGGGATTTTGCCGCATAATTGTTGGAACTTTCGAAGGAACAATCTTTGATGCTCCTTGTTCGTAGCCTGAACACTAAGTCACATTTGCGCATATTCATTCGTCTGTTTTAATCGGAAGGTTTGATGTTTGGCTATTCACACAGTTTAGCCTGCCCTGACTTCACCGCTTCGTAAAAATCCTAGCATCTCGCACAGTTTTCCGCTCATCCAATCTACAAGTCGGAAGTTTGCACGAATGTGCCTACGTACGCACCTGCTTCCAGCGCACGCAACATTGCGTGGGAAACGACACACGTCGATCTCGCCGCCTGTCTGTGTATGCGCGACGAGCAAATGCAGACCATGAGACACAGTTCTCCTGTTTCGCGAGCACGACAGCACACTGCTACAGCTGAGTCAGCCAATCAGAGGATCACGGTCCATTCGAGTCTGTTAAGGCGGACAAACCAAGGGAGTTTCGACAAGCGCAAGGCTGATTCAACGACGAACGCGCGCAGACAAGCGAATGTAGCGAAACGCACCAAAGCCCATCAACTAATGGCTTTAGGTGGCCTTGTTCAGTTAGAATCGGATCTTCAGTTAGAAACGGGTCTTCTTTGAAACTGCCCATTGACAGCATGGGGCAAACGTTTTCCGTTGCAGTTGACCGGATGTTGGATAGTCGCCGAGGTTGTCAATCATACCAGTAAACCTTACTTAGCATCGTGAAACATCCCCCATTGACTTGCTTACTCCACCCCGTATACCTTTGATCTCCACATCCTTTGCTCGTTCGTACCCGTCCCGCCGCAAGGCCGCCCCGTCCGTCACTGGTACACTAGCATTTGTGTGGCACTGACTTATCTACCCGCATGTATTCGTACCCATCTGCTGGGCCAGTGACTCGCTCTGTCAGGATTTCGGTCTGATTGCACCACCAGTCGCACTGTGCCGGTCGGTGACATGCTTGTGCACTTGTTCACTCTAGGACCGTGGACATTTGAGGTTCGTTGTGTAGCTTAACTCCCCTCCGTGTAAACAGTGCCGTAGACTTTCGAATCCACTTCTTCCTTTTGATATTCGGGATCGTCAAATCTATGCGTGACGCAAAGTTCCGTATCGGGAACCTCAACAAGAACCTCAGTAAGAAGTTTCCAGGCCGTTGCCATTGCATCACCTTCTCTGTGGATCGATAGATGACAGAAAAACAGTACCCAGTACTTCGAACATATGGGGCCATCCAGTGTGTCCACCCGTTGGCTGACGGCAAATTCGTCACATGTGCCACCAAATGTTTCAATGCTAAGTAGGTGGTGTACGGTCCACCAGTGGGAGAAACGTAGTAATCGATCAACAGGTTCAATCTAAGCGGGAACCTGTGCGATGCAAGGAGCCTCGGGTAACCACGATCCCCTACACATCACTTATCTGGTGTTATCATCATCCGTGAAGTTGAAGAAACTTTACCCTTCAGCCCAAACAGTACAGCTCAGCTGGTAAAATACTTCAAGGTATGCAGTAAAAAGTGAAGCTGCACAGCTTCGGATACCTGCAGTCCTAAGAGCTAGATTGTGGTGATCCAGAGAGGCGATACACACTGCTCTTGGTTTTTCAAACACGAATTTCTTTTGGGTGTTGTCCACGAAGGAAATGAATACTGTGGTTCACCAGTCGCAGTCAGTCTCAAATACTGGACCAGCAGTGGTTCTTGTAGAATTGGTCGGGCAGGACGTCACGGCATTGATCAGACACTAAACAATAACTCTGGCAATAATTGTGTCAATTTCACCGGAAATATGCACAACGTCGTTCATGACGAGAAGAGCGTTCAGGCTCGGCGAAGGTATGGATATGTACTGAAAGATTACCGCCACCGAAGGCCGACGACTGAGGGAATCGCATGAGGCATCCAATAAGGATCGCACCGATTTCTTTATCCCAATATGTGTACGCTTCGATAGTAGCATTAGTACTCATTTACAGCTGAAACTGATGTAAACAGAATACTCAAATAAGCTTCACGAGAGTAGTCTCCGGTTTCAGTTGGATGGATATTCAAAACAAGAAAACTCTCGCACTCAGTTTGTTAAAATTCCATGTTTAATTTCTTGCCCGTTAGTATAAGATACATTCTTCTAGCTAATAAGCTTAGTTGATCGTCAGACGTACAGACCGCCTTTACGCAAGTCCAGCAACCTTCTTTCTGTGCTGTCAGATCCAGAATCGATTCGTTCCCTTAAAGCTTAGCTACACATTTGTAATTACGTATGCTGTTCCCCATTAGGTTTACCGTTTCACCATCTCAAGTCCCGTTCTTTCGTATGTTGATTACTCTATCATAGTTAAGTCATCGAAACAGGTCTATAAGTGAAGTGAAATTTCTGAAAATGTCTTCATCTGCTTTGTACTCGTCAGCTGCTTTGACGTCTGTAATAGCTCCACCAACAACATTCTTCCTATCCAATACGACCTGCAACCACATCAACTTCCTGCATGCATGAGGGAATTTGCTGAATGCCCCTATTCTTGGTCGCAAAGATCGTAACAGCGGGGACTACTGTAACTTCGTACCTTGTTTATAATCAAGTAACTGAGTGACCGAAAGAAGTCTAACAATCTACTGTCCTGGTATTAAGCTTCACGTAAGAGGGAGGTTGACGAGTGGCGGTGAGGTAATTCCCCATTTGTATTCTGTATAAATTTAAGCTAGGGTGCGTGATACTATAATTCAGGAAGTGGAGAACAGTATGGTAAACAGTTCAAATTTGTGCCTACCGCTGATCTATCCTAATTTTGCGAGCAAGGATCTGTGTCAGAAAAAACATTGTTCGCCTATCGCCTTGGCTTCAAACAGAATAGCTAAAGTCTTCTGATGGTTGTCTGAATGAGAGGGACAAAAATGCTAACATGGCTCATGTTCATTCGATCACCATCCGGCTTAGTTTCCCCTATCAAGTGAAAACAAGCACAGGCAGCGTAAGCTGTCATTGCACGTGGCGGACACGTTTCTTTTTTCATTCTACCTGTGGTCAGCAGTCACCAGGACTCATTTGACGACAACAAACAAAAGTGTTGATGTTCTAAAAGTGAAAATACTCGCAGTTAGGTCTCATGAGAATCGATGCAATCTTCCAAAGTTCCATGGTCGGGGTCTGATGGTGCTACAAAAGCGTGTACAGAGAGTGAAGGTAGATTTTTCACATTTTCCTCGCTCATCAAATTACACCACGGTATTCCTCTTATAATTTGGTGAGGCAGACTAATAACTGATCTGATTTTGATCACTGGTTAGTTGGCTGTTTCCACTAACCACCACGATTTATTCGTCAAAATTAGCGAAATGCATTGGGATTTTTCTGAAGAAGATTAAAACAGGGCCCCTAAGTGTACTAAATGATGCTAGGGCCAACCAATAAGCCCCTATGGAACCACGATCCATTGGGGTTTTGACTCATCTTGCTTACTAGCGCTTGCAGTTTGCTGTTGTATCTTGACTGTATATGAAGGCTACCTAAAGCTATCGACCTCTCAGTGATCGAGCTTGGATATCCATGCGAGTTCAGCGCTAAACCAGCATTCCGCTTGCCGAAACTCGACCAGTCTGTCCATCCTACATTCCTAACATCATCTGCACTTGCGCCCACAGACCGTAAGCAAGAGCTACCAGTGTCGCTTCCATGCGGTGGTGAGATGTGGTGAGTACATCTGTGCAAACATGTGACGTACTGATCGGATAGCTGGAAAATGTTTATACTTAGATTTTAAAGATGAAGTGGATCCACCGCAGGTTAATCGACAGTTCAGTAACACGGGGATTGGACATGGTCGGCCACTATGGTATTTTGCTTAGCGATAACTTTGGAAGTACAAACGTCCTCTAAAGACCTTTATCTATAGGAGCAAACCTGAATCATTTTTGTGCACTTTCATTTCTCTCCCGCAGCAGTAAATCCAGTCGGGAAATTCGACAGTTTTCTCGAACTAGGTTCCTTCGTATATATTTGTAATGTACTACTCATAAGGTTGCTGAAAATCCGTCGACAGCCCACGACCGGTTTCGTCCTTCTTGGGGCTCATCAGGTAGGTGCAGTCCCCGGGGTTTCCACCAACCTTATGTTCTACTTGAAACCAAATTGCACGAAATTAGCGAATATACACTCATCTGCAAACTAATTTGGTTCTTTCGAGAGACTCACCTGGAACCCAGCTGAATCTCTCGTTTATGATTCAGCCGGGTTCCAGGTGAGTCTTTCGAAAGAACCAAATTAGTTTGCAGATGAGTGTATATTCGCTAGGTTCCTTCGTCTTTCGTGCATGGTTTCAGCTATTGGTTGATCAGTTTTTAGTTACACGTGTAAAAGGAAGGCAGTAAAAGTATCCCGTTCAGAAATTCTTTATTTAGAGTATCTGTTGGAAGAATGACCATTTCACTGTGATTGAAAAAGAACCTTACCTAAACAATGTAACAGAGCCAGGATGCTCTGTATCCTTTTCGTTAAAGGCCTCCGTCTTTTGGTTTGATTGATTTTCAAAACATACTCTCCCAGTAATCAGATACACTACTCCGACTGTTTTAATAATGCTGTTACTATCGCCAGTGAGCAGTGCAAGACTGAGTCATCATTACTTTCAAGAAATTTTGGGTCGTGAATAGTTCTCAAGGTTTCGGAAGTAGACTTCCTCTAACCAGTCACGCCATCCAGGATGAAAACTCTAAAAGCAACCCGCAGCCAAACTATCCTTGGTGCAAGTCATTGGCTTTGAGTAGTGAATGAATATCGATGGCAGCTTGAGCGTTCCGCATCCAATACAGAAGTTTGAGCGGTTCGCATCGTGTGCGCTTTGTTAGGATACGGGGCAACCGTAATGCAGCGCTGACTGGTCTCTCACATATATAAACAAATGGATAAATTAATAAATAAGCAATTAATTGATTAATTAATGGTGAAAGCCCACCCGATGGGTGGGATTTTTTTACCTTCTGAACAGATTAATTATATTTTGTAAACCGCAAATATAATCATGGAAAATATATCATTATGGATATTTGTCATATTGTCACCTGATACCCACAGGTTCGGTAGATAAACCCAATCTACTGTATCCCGTTCGGTGAAGCTTTGCGGTCAAATATGAATTCAATCACTGACTTAAGCTGTCGGCGAAAAATGTGAGTGAACCCGAATGGGTCTTCCCATTGCAAGTTGTAGTGTCTGTAATCCATTGTCACACATTTACCACTTTTCCTGAACTTAAACTACACTTTGTAACTGTCGTACATATTTTATCATGACGTTTGTTTTAATGTTACGAATATAGAATTTTCCGGCGCGACTTGCTGACTTCTTGCTGAACGAGTGTATCTACGCTCCGTTGGACTGTTTGCTGACCGCTGAATCAGTGGGACTAGATCTCTGTGTTTGGGTCAAATGTTGAACGTCACAGTAAATCCCCGTGATATTTTTCAGCCGTGAATAACATTCCTATCGTGGAATATATCACTCACACTTCAATCATCCGTGGAAAATTTCTACGAGTGAATATTTCTTTCACAGCTGGTTACTGCATTTGGATCGGTGTAGTGGACTATTGGATCTACGCATTCGTGAGTCCTCATTCGACTACTCATTCTTTTAATATTGTGATCTTGTGATTTTGTATTGGTCACTTTGGTTGTTAATTTGTCCTGACACGCTGATAAGGTCCTAGCCCGCTACAAAGTTTACTCAGCGATTTCTTCTCATGTTTCGCTTATAGAAGTCGAAACTTGGTAAATAACCCCTAGAATTCGTCAAATGGCCTCGTTTGTCGTTTTATCACTCATCGTTTTAATCGTAGCTGGAGAGGACGGCCACTCACTGTCCACATTTAAATTACAAGGTGTTTCTGCGTTATAAGGGAACTTACCCGAGTAGTGGGCGGAAACTGTAACAATGTTTGTGTAGTCAGATGTATTCAGTTCTCTTTCAGTGCTACCTATGACCTACTCCTGCTAAGGAAGTATTCAGCTCCCAACGCGCCTCGCCCAGTATCCGAAAAACAGGAATACGAGTCATGACTAAGAATTCAAACTCACTTTCTCCTCCCGGTCCAATTCTCTGTTCGTATACAACGAACCATTATGGAGCAGACGGAACTGCGTCAAGTATGGCAATGGGGTTTCTTTGGCCAGTTCAAAATGTAGTTGCGCATTCGGTCCGATATCGTCATCTTTGGCAAGTAGGTCACCAATATGAGTGTTTCCGGGAAGATTCTCTTGTATGGCAAATAAATTTCGGTCACCAATGCGGCCAGTCTGCAGGTGTGCGCGATCGATAATAGGCAGTTCTCCTTCGCAGGGTAGTAGATGAGGTCGATGATCATTCACGTCCAGGATGGTCAAGTTTAGTAGCACAGACGAAGACAGGCGTTCTTTCCCGTGATCATTTGCTACTACTGTAACCTATGATGTGTAAGTTTGTGAATGGAAACGAGGTTATGGTCTCCAGATTGTACCTCCAATATAAAATGTACACCATCAGCGCAGAGGTTGGATCAAACTTTTTTCAAATAGGATGCTCTTAGGACCATGCGTCTTGACGAGTAACTGCAATAAAGTCATGTACGTCAAGTCAGTACGAAAAAATGAGTACGGTCATGCCGTGGGGTGTCAGAGAGTGAGAAGTGCAGAATATTTCAGCGAGAGCATGGCCAAGTTTGTTAATTAAATGTTGATGATTCTGGATAGGCAATTTGGGATCTTGACTGTGAAGATTAAGCAGTTTTTGAGTACTGTACATAATGAAGCTGATATTTTTAGATAGAGTCCCCGTGTTTTCTCCTTGCTTGCTTTGTATCCTGTTCTGTAAAAAAGCAACCAGAGTGTGATCACTATTGGTATCTATCAACGACTTGGACAGAGCACACCCATTTCTACGTAAAAGAAACTGGAGTGGATCTTCTTGAAAAATTCCCGTCTTTTATTAGTGATGCTTAAACCTCAAATTCACGAAGATCCGGAGCAAGTAACCAACTGATGCAGTCACGTAGTTACTACTGGAGTTTAAAATGTCAACAACTTCTGTCAGCCTTGAGATTACTCATGTATTAGAACCTAACCAAATGTTGACAGTCATCGTAGATAGCACTCCTACCTGATAAGAATCGCGTGTCTCTCGATCAAAGATCACGTTCGCTGTGATCCAACCGGTCAAAGAATCCACCTTGAAATTGGCTCTGTCAAGTAAAGAGTAGCTGATTTTTGCGTTGTCTCCCTCGTCCGCGTCAGTGGCTTTCACCTGAAAAGCAACCCGATGTAGTTAATTGTTTTATATACAGTCTAAACTGCGGAAAACGATGAAAAAAGCAATGCCTGGTCGGGTTTGAAGACAATTCATTTTGTGTAAACCAAGTTCTGTTCGTCAGGTTCGTTGTTGCTCAGAAAGTGAATATCGGTCATCATGAAATATACTCACTCGCAGCTTACATTGATGTTAACGAGGAACAATTGAATTTATCGTTTTATAATAAACTGAATCTACTGCACAAAGGCCGTCTCATTTTTCAGCTGAAGGACTCATTTGAATCTCTTGTTAACACCAAATGGACCCGTTACTTAGACCTGGGTGACGACGCCAGCTTGATGAGCTTCAAGAGGGGCGAAAATGACAGTTGGCTGTCGAAGAGATTTCAGCAACCATGTGGGTATCATGTTCCGTCGAGCAAATAATAATCATTATTTAGTAAGTTGTCACTGTCACTTGCTGACAGGTTTATCACACTAAGTGTTTTCTATTCTATTTGTCTTCATAGGCTCCAGAAATTCTAATTTAGGTATTCCTGTGAAAAACAAAATTCCTACCCACATTGATGTCACAATGGTATCGTTTTCCTTTACCATGAATGGGTCTAGGTACAGCTGATCAAAACTGGTAAACAGTGAATAAAAGAACATCGGGTAGTTTTTCGAGGTTATTCATGGTTTACCTGTATTATTTTTTCTCCCAGTAGATTGTTCTCCCTGACAGCCACATGATAAACCGACTGGGAGAAGACAGGAGGATGGTCGTTTACGTCTCTCACCATCAATGTAGCCGTCATGGTTGCTGTGTGTTTCACCCCGGGCCTGTTCTCATTCGCCAGACCATTCCCATCCGAGCAAACCAGATAGACAAACAGCCGACCCAACTGGGGCCCACTGAATGCCTCTCGGTCGAGCACTACACGCGTCGTCAAATCGTACACGGAAGCACTGGGATTGCTCATAGGATCTGGTAAGAACGAGAGCACTTGGTGACGTCGCAGATCCTCAGGTTCCCAACATTCCACTTTACCATTCACAGCCTCACTGTCAGGATCTTGGATGCGCACCTGTGTTGTGAAATTGGCGATAAGTATCAGGAATTTAGACAGTAGAGGTCATGCAATGAATCATAATCGTTTTACCAAAGTTCAATAAATTAGATTGGAAAATGAGCCACAATAAACCATTGAGTACAACACTGCTTTAAATGTATTACTGTAAGTTCAACTTGGCTTCTGGTCTCGGTTTAAAAATCCATACTTCAATTGTAAGTTACTTCTGCTGCCAGCGATAGTCTGAACAGAATGTTTGCTTAATCTCTTGTTTATAGTAATCTTAGGAATTTGCCGCACAAATGCCCCCTCATGTTGCATTTGGAACAATAATCAAGATATCGAAGTAATCTTTTTGATATGACACTACTTGATGAGTAGTTTGGATCGGATTAAACATCATCACTGATGTGCATCGTAGCATTTATGCCTCAGATAATTGAAAAGATGACTGAGTAAACAGAGCGTGCTGCACAACTCTTTCAAACTTTCCGACAAAAAATATCGATCGAGATTGCATCATGTGAGTGAAGTCAGTTTATGATGAAAATTTGAGCGTCATTGCATGCCTATTTCATTCTTCTTAGAATTCATCAAGAGATGTACAATCCACCAACCTTCGGGTAGATTCGAACCCGTGACCTACCGACAGTTGAAGACTTAACTATTCGAACATGGGCAGCCGTTCAGCAGTATAGTCAACCAGCACTTAGACAAAAGCAGGTCAACACCGGCCACGTGATGTGAATCCGGTGATTGAATGCCACGTGGCACTATATGCTGTCTACGTGCGAGCTGATCATACTGCTGATCAGTTTAGTGTTCAACCACCAGCCGGAAAACCGCAGATTGGAATCTAGTTGAACATTCATTAGTTGTGCGATGTTGATGATTCCCGATCAGGAGGAAACAGGCGTGCGGGGCTTGCCGGCTTTACGGCATGAATTCATTTTAGTTGCAAGATAAAACCGTGATAGAAATTTCTGAACTTTCTTCTAACACCAACAAAAACAGCACCGCATTATAGGACATGTGGGAATACTCCAAGCCTAGTTGAGGGTCTAAAAATTTTCTGAAGTCAGGAGATTTTTTCGAGCAGATTGGCTGTTGAAGAGAATGGAGTTCAGTGACAGTGAACGAGGGTCAACCGCATAACAAGGTGGCGTCACAATTTCAGAGGGTTATTCGCAACATTCTCTGGGTTAAACTAAATTGAGCGTATTTCCGCGAAAAATACCGTAAGTGAAATCTATCCTAACGAAGTGTAAGATCACAGGAAAAGGAATATGGGAGGGACAACCTTGGACCACAAAACATCAAACATATGCCAGCATATTATATGAATATATAATGCTATTTCACAGTACAGAGTGTTTTACGGTTGTTGAGTTCGTACTTCAACCGGAAACTTAAGAGGTGACTCATAGGTTATACAGATATGTGACCGCATTCAGTTGATTATCTTTTCTTCTGGTGATTCTCAGTGGAGAAGCAACACGGTGATGTTTCAACCTGAAAGTAAGGATATGTTACATCCACTTTTATCAGATATGCTAGCTAATAATCTTCAGCAGAACCAGGTGATATATTTAGATTACAGTCATCTTCGATGAAGAAATTACATCCCTTGTTCGGTTCAGCAGCTAGAATTTGAAAACATTCACCAGAACATGAAACTATCACCATCCAGCCTTGCAGAATTTTCGCTCCATTTCGAGACATCATTCTGCACACACCAGGCCTAGAAGTACTCACAACAAATGTTCAAGGGTGCGGCTCTCAACATAGTTGTAGCTACGTCGTAGAGTCTGTAGTTCCCCTTGCAGTGTATGTCGTTCTGCACGCGGAAAAACACATCCATCGGTACCTAGCTCAAATGTTGCATGTAGTCCAAAGGTTCGGAACGATTTACCTTTTCTATTCAGTATAACAGCGTTTTTTTTTGAGCAAATACAAAAGAATCACTGTTTGAAATCATATAAAAATTATGAACTTTTGAGAGAAAGTCGGGAACAAAAATACCTCACTAGTTGGTTCGGAAGCTCTCTTTTCTTCATAATTATCTCGGACAATTAATGTAAGCATAGCACCAGATATTATTTCAAGATAACACTTACTCGACCAATGAGCTTGCCCACGGACGCATTCTCGTCAGCAACCAAACGCTTTGGATTTACCTCAAACTCCGGCGGTTCGTCATTGACATCCAGCACATGAACAAAGAGGCTGCTTTGTGCTGTGAACTCCCCATCGTTGACGCGAATCGGGACCTTATATGTGTGGCGAAGCTCAAAGTTGAGAAAACTCCGCAGCCGCACTACTCCACTCGACTCCACGTTAAAGGTGGCACTCATTACTGCTACTTCTGCAGAAGATCCCATCGAATAGACAAGTTGCGCTGTGCTGTCTGGATCATGCGCGACCAGCTGAGTGGAAAATTGTACATCGTTATAATCTAACTGTAGAAACACACTACTGACAAGAATATAGTAGGTAAATGTAAAAGTCGTTTGATCCCAACACAGATATGGCCTCGTGCTGATCCAGATGCAAATTATATGCTTGGAAATATTAACAAATAAATAGAAATAAATAAGTAAATCATGTCCGTCTGGGTAAAATGTTGTTGGATCTTAGTCGATCCCGATCTTTTGGACAGTGGAATACGTGTGAGATCTTTTTCTCGTTTCATTAGACTTTCGGTGAAACGGAAATACTCATCTTGTTGTCTGCTGGCTGCTAATAGCAGCTGTCCGCTGTGACGCCTGTAGGATACCTCTTAATGTTAGTTCTGGTGTTCGTAAACAAAGTGTTACGAGTTACGAGTGTTGTGAGTCATCATACCCAGCGTCAGCTTATCCGTGTGATCCCACATAGACAAAACCGGATTGGCCTCGTACATCCAATAATTTTGTGTGATTGACACATTACACACGAAATTAGGCGAAAAACAGATGTTCATGCAGCATCTGAGTGCAACGTGCCAGTCATTCAGTAAATACGGCTGCCACTAACGATCCGGCTGAAGCTTACAATATCTTATTACACGATGTTCTGAAGAGCGAATTACCTATTGCAGCTGCCGGTTTAATGACTCCACGACTTAATGACCTGAGGCTTATAGGCTAGAGAGACTGTCACGTCAGAGATTGCGTGACTTGCTAATCCATTGCACAATCCATGCATATGGCTGAAGTTTAATTCAGTTTAATTTTTAGCTTGTAGTATTAAGTGTGTGGGACTTGGTTCGAAAAAGTCCTATATTATGGGCAGGAACAACGAATCGGAATTTTTCACAGGAACGGGGATCGAATCGGATTGGAGCTGAGAAGCACCTAGCCCTGGCTCAGATTTGATTCATTACTGTACAACAGATGTGGCCGGTTCTCTGGAAACCCGACCACAATATCACTTTTGTCTTCACTGAATTATCTTTCAGATTTAATCGAAAATGGTTAACTGTGTGAAATGATAGGCAAGTGCGTACTCAGGATAATTAAAGCCTGATCCTTCTACCCACACTTGATGAATGCTAAAAGGGCTGACGTAGCCGAGTCATTCGGGATACAACCGCATTGATGGGCAGTAGCCATGTTGTGCGACGAAGTTAACATGCAGGTCACATTTAATCTAGCACAATCTGTATAACCGTACAATTAGTATTGTCCTACTTCGCAAAATAACCGAGGATCGACTGATTTTCAGTCAAAAACACTGTTTGCCACAGTGTTGCAAGCATTTTGCTATTAAGAGCATATATGACATTAGTAACTCTAATAAAGGTGTACCACCAAACACCTGAATTGAATACTCAATGAATCAGCCATTTTCAAGCCCAAAAATTCAACCAGCTACAATGAAACTGCTGTGAAGGAATGGCAATAGCTGTGATGGATAAATATTGGATGCAATATCTGTTCAGTCGGTTGTTTGTGAGTATCTCTTGATCCAATAAACATTGTTGGTGCGAGCAACAGAAGTACATCTTAAGTGAACACGGAGACAAGGTGATAATCTCATGGCCAAACCGCAACTGAACTAGGCATGTTACCAAATGCTTTAACAGTCGACCAGACAAACCGTTATTTCCAAAGATATCTTCTATTAAGAGTTGAGTGATGCACAAAATCATCATCATCATCATCATCATCATCATCATCATCATCATCATCATCATCATCATCATCATCATCATCATCATCATCATCATCATCATTGTCAGCTGTAATAACCGCGTACTCGTCGTATAGTGGTTGTAGCTGCCGCAGTTTCGTTCACCGATGATCTGGGGGAGGGGGAGGTAGCTGAGCATTGCAGCCGGGAGCTGATAAATTGGTGCATAAATCCAGCACTGTAGATGGACTGTCAAGTGGAGGGTGGAAAAGGAGCTATGGATTGAAGGCAATAGCTTGGCTGCACGAGCGTCATTGAGGGCGCGACTAAGGTCATGTTTGACAATGTCTGCAGCCACTGATGTGGCCCGTCTCGGGGTCCCCATCCAGGAAGATGGCAGTGACCAGCGCAGCTGAGTTTGCTGGTGATGGCTTCCAGAGTTCACTGCCAAGTCATTAATTTGACCGCCTCTGGCTCTCTTCCACCCTTCATGTGGTTGTGCAAAAAGATCCCTTGGAGGGAGACGGTCGACTGTCATGCGTAACACGTGGCCAAGCCAGCGCAACCTATGCAGTGTGATCAGTTCATCTATCGAGGGTAAGTTGTTTCTCCCGATACCATTCGACATACTTCAGAATTACTGATCTGGTGTTCCCACCAGATTAGGGCACAAATTAGGGCTTAAGAGCAATATACGGATCGCCGGTGAAATCCCTCAGTTTCACACTTTAAGATTTAAAGTTCCTATGTACTCACCAAGGAAAATCTGATATCATCGAGAAAAACGGTTAGCGAAAAACAAAGCATCGAACAGCAACTGAGTTGCTAATTTGTGACAGAACAACCTGCAGAAAAGCCTGTGTATCGGTTTTCGTGAAATCTCAGACAAATAAGCTCCCCTTCATACATTTCAGGAGGAACACATATCACAGTTTAGCAACTAATCCTTTTCATGAAGCGCACCAATGAGGAAAAATTGTGAATTTCCTAAATACCACTTCTGTCAACTTGTGATCACCTACATAGCCGAAACTTCCATAAAATACTTGAGTAACACGTCGATTAGAATGGGGTGCCCTGTCAAATGCAAAAACAAGGGAGGACGTCTAGGAAAGTTAACAGCTGTATTGCGTCAGAATTGGCTTGGAGCAGTAACATCTTGAATAGGGATGTGAAATGGTTGTAAATCAGCCAACAGAACAGACAAATTTTAAGCACACTTTAGCGTGAGAACCATAGCAACAGCTAGGTTGGCCCAACAGTGATGATCTTGCAGCAAACTAACATTACTCCATTCCTGTTCTGCAACTTTGGCAAGTCACTGCTAGTGGTGATATAATGGCCAAGTTGAATTCGGGCTTCCGTTTAGCCGAAAGAATAGAGGAAAAAGTAAGTTTGGAGAACAATTGTCCTCTAATCGCGTTTCATGCTTCTGTCTCCGTGATGGTGGAGGGGATTTCGAAAGTAAAGGCATCCAGTTGGTTGTTCCTATCAACGTTCTTGGTATGATTCCCGCCTGTGGAGTTTTCCTGTATTCGAATACAATCTATTAAACTTGGTGCGATCGGGTCAAGGCAAGGAAGCTCAAGCATACTAAGCTTATGAGGATTTGATTCCCCATGGCATTCGTTCTTCTTATCCACATGACAGACTGTCCATATTCGTTTAGGCACTGAAGCCGCGGAAAATTCCTCTGCGCTCGCTGTCGTTCTTTACTTCTTCTTGGCAAGGAACCTTTTTTCCCGTTCCAGTTTGAGACAGCACTTTAATCACACAATGTGAAGTGAGTTGCCGAACCACACAGCATAAGCATTATTTTTGTCTCTCATTGGACGATTCGACTGTCTGTGCTCAATGGGTGCTCATGGGGAAGTAATTCATCCTCATAGAATTGTTCCTTTCAGGTGCTCCCAAGCACCTATATTATTCTGTTAGACTTGTAGGCCTGAGATCAAACAGAATTGAATGCAGATGTCCCTAAGGATAAAATAAGCGGTACGAATCCATCCTCAATTCCATAATGTCTAGGTTTGGGAGATATAAACTCATTTCATTTCTTGTGTATCCTGTAAGATTTCAGAACACATGCATCGAAAGGTTGTGTCAGATGAATGCCTAACAGTCATCGAATCAACGGTATGATCACAATGAGTGCACGTCCATGTGACGCAATGTAGCACTCTAAAGGCTGTTAGAAGGAACCAAACTTGGGCAGTCTGTTGACAGCTTAGAAATTTCTACCCAGACTGTAAGGTATTGCATCATGTCACTACAGACAGCTGGATCGGCGCTGAAGCGATTCAACACCGCAAACCCAACTTGTGTAAGTAACTGGGATTTGTGGCTAGTATTGACTTGCCTTGGTAAGGCCGACATTGGATTTAGTCAAACCTTATAAAGTTTGAAGTGGAGCAATGCAAGACCCCATTCGGTTGTTAGATTTCCACAATCAAAACTGTTCCCTAATTCTATCGAGCTTATACTGCTCCTGTTGTCTCTGCTGAAACAGAATTGTTCAGCAGATTTACCGGAATGTATACTGTGTTTACGGTAGTTGGGTTCCGTACTCATGCTCCAGTGGATGTTTCGCGAACATTGGTACCATTCATGCTTCCATCACCAAACCAGTTACAAGGCGAATGGACCAGTAAGAGTTTGAACATTCGTGATTAGAACAATTCTAAAGTGGGAAAATAACCGAAAGGGATGACAATTTTTGTCTTCTTCAGCCCTCGGCTCTTATCGCCTCACTCTTCTGTTGGGGACCACGGGGTCAACTAAGCGTGGTAATGGATCCGAGCAAAAACCCTATACGACATAATTACCGGTTTGTTAGCTGTTAAGAGTTAAATAGTATCGAATACCACAGCACTTCACACTTCCACACCTCAGGAGAGAGATAAGCGGTCAGTCATGCGTTAATTATTTGTTCAATCGGTACTGATAAGAAAAGTAGCAAACGATTTAACAATTTTCAAACAGCCCAAATTCCTCGAGTGGCGTGGAGACTAGATGTCCGTGACATTTTTCGGTTGCAAAATTGCCGGCGAAGTTCCTGAACAAATAGAGCCACACACTTCATGCAAGTTTACTCAACCCGGAGGTGATACCACATTTTTCCAACGCAAAGGAAGCCAGCCAAAAAAATCCTGTTACGTGTGTTTTTTCAACTTTCCTGATACAACGAGAGCTGAATCTAGCACTTAAACGGCACTTTCTAATATGCGCTGTACAAAGTTGAGAGTACACTCTTCGACCGATTCCACCATCAGAGACTTTGAAACAATACTAAGCTTGTGCATGTGGTCATGGATAGTGAACAGCTATAACTTTTGCAACAGTTTGTTTCAAACTAGATATTGTCAAAAGTCATTTCTAACCAGTTTATTCTCAGCGGATAACAGAAATGCCGTCATTTAAACGTGTCCAAACGAAGGCATATAAAAGT